TCTATTCCAAAAAATGCTGAAATATGTCAAGGACACAACGATATCACTTTTGAAACGATATATCCACTTCATCAGTGTAACATGTTTGTCCCCCTAAGAGTAGTTCCAGTTTTCACAGTAGTATTCACTACAGACCCACCGAAGGCTTTGCAGCGCTGAATACCAACTGTTTCGCACAAGTTTGCCACCTGTCAACAGTTCACACCCAAGATCTCATCAGGGATTTGAACCGAAAACTACCAAGTCTTATCGTCTTATCTTCTTGTGACCAGATTACCATTCAGTCGACGGATTGGCATCCAATCTTCCATATTTTCAGATGAAATAAATGCAAAACGCTGTTGAAAAGCCAAATGAACGGATACACTTCCATTTCATTCATATTCTGAAGCATTCATTAGATCAAACCTTATAATTTGAACCTCTCTATGATCGTACTTTTCGCTCACTTTTATGACCAACTCATTAGATGTGGCGTTTAAAGCGATGAATACTGTCTCCCAGTCGCAGTGGCGGGAACAGCATCACTGACAGGGGTGCAGGAACATCCAGTTGACGAGTCTCAAATAGGACGAAACGTGTCTTCTGGATACCATAGCTAGCCATACACCAAGTGCACACTAATCCCCTTAATACTTTCAAGTCTGCTCATTGGTGTAAGTAACTCCCTGGAAAGCGTGAAACAAATCTAATGTTCCTATTCCAGGGTGTGCTACGAAAATCGGTTTTTTTATTACGTGTGCCACTGGGTTCCTAGTACGACATAGGAATTCAGTAACACGTCACCGTTTCACTCTCTTCTCTACAGTATGCTCAACCTAGCTACAACACTACCCACAACCTTGCATTTCTTACTCACATCATCTCCTCCATATCACCCTCACATCAGACGCCCAAATCGTTCTTTCCCACACAGGTTCCACTCGACGACTTGGACTGGACAGGCGCGTGATATCCTCAATCGGTCTTCTCAGTGTATGTACAATCCAATCCATCTCCACCATCTCCCACGTATTTGTTGGGTGATGGCTTCTTGGTTGGTTGGCTGGTTGCCAGACAGCCACAGTTCCTCCTTGCTCACTCTTCTTATTCTGGCCATCTGACCAGGCCTTCAGTATCCAGCATAAGCAACCGTTGATGTGTATCTGTAGTTTGTTGGAAATGCTTTCTGAAACGCGCCAATTCTCTCAACCATCACATAGAAGCACTGACTTATCTGAAGTTAGTGTTGAAAATGTGGATGTTGTTCACACATTATACTGAGTGCAGTGCAGTGCAGTAGACTCACACACTGATTGATTCCAGATTAATGAAGGACTGTCTTGCTGTGTTTTCAATGCTGGCTTTTATATCCTCATCTGTGCCCCCACTGCCGCCTGTATTTGAGAGGATGCTGCCTAGGTAGGCAGGGGAAAGAGACAACTTCTTTCAGATTTCTAGCGTTGATTGTGATTGGGGCTTGTTGTTGGTGGTGATGGTGGTTGAGGATAGTGATCACCTCTATCTTCTCTACCTTCACCTGGAGGAAGTCACATCTTTGCTGCCCTCACTCTCCTGTCAACTTTATGGCCTTGGCATGTAGATCTTCGAGTTTGTGCGACATTAGATATCGGATATAAATCCTCATTGTCGGTGAAAACCAAATCTTCTTTTCCAGTCTCTTCATCGGTCAACCAGCATATTTCCCTCCAATCGCTCATCACAATTTGTTGCATGTCCAAGTCCAGTCCAGTCAACCACCATCAAGAAGATGATCGGTGATAGTAAGCGGCAGCATTAACTTACTACTGTCTTCACTTCACTTCGAAGGCATCAATGAGCTGAGCATTCCTTTGTGAACCACTTGAAATATAGCATCAAATAGCATAGCACAAAGCTGTTAAATCAGCTCGATAAGGGTTTATAGAAACAAAACCGTGGTGCTGAAGCATCTGACTGCCAAATTACTTCTCAGTCAACGCCTCAATCGAAGGCCTTTCCAACATCTATGAACTTCAGGTAAAGTTCCAGTTGACAGCCATTCTCTTCTCTCTTCTCTCACGCGTAGTGTGGCGTTGCAATTCGATCTGCACATGATTTGTTATTCCTCAAGCCAGCCACCCAGCATGCTCCGTTCGTAATTTCGAATGCAGCGCATTTTTGGTCACTCCAGTATGATGCAGCTTAATATTTTGCTTGCGATGGACAGAAACAGGAGCATGATTTCGTGCCAGTTCCTGCGGACACCTAAGTCACACTTCATCCCTAGTTCAACAGGGTAGCCCTTCTTCCAATCAACCAGCAGGTACCCGTCCTTCCCTTTCTTACAAACCCCCTACAGTAGTGGTGTGAGCATGTCCACTGATGTCTCTGCATCTGTATTCACTGCTATGGGCGGAATTCCATCCGGTCATGATGCTTTCCCAGATTTCAGTAACTTTATGGCGTCCAGAAAATCACTTCTGTTTTTGTCGGAGTGTCTGCGTTCACTGATAGTTCTATGGCTGGTGTGCCGGTGATATTTCTGGCCGAGATGCAGGTGGTGGTTGTGGTGGTCGATTCAAGAGCTATTTCGAGTGGTCAGTCCATCGCTTCCTTTGTTTCTCCTCTTTGATAACTAAGCTCCCTTCACCATCTTTCATTGCTTTCGTCTGTGCTGTGTTCATCTCCTTCCAGGTAGTAACCTGGTTATTTGACATAATGTTGTCAGGTCTCTGTCTCTCCTACCTGCCGCCTGTTCTACTTCCCTCGCAAGGGTGTCGTAGAAGTAAGAATCTTTCGTCTTTCCACGCACTCCTCTTCACTTCTTTGTCCAGTGTAGTATTTCATAGCTTGCATTCAGTTCCCCTTTCCGCTCTTCATCCCTGCACTGCACTGCACTGCACTGCACTGCACTGCACTGCACTGCACTGCACTGGTTCATCTTCTGCTTCACCAGCTTCCTCTCCCTCCTCTATCAGATTCCATGTGTCCATCGGGATGCATTCCTACCTGGTCTTATCTTATCTCGTCTTGTCTTGTCTTGTCTTGTCTCGTTTCTTCTTCCATCCTAAAACGGTTATGCAGGTTTCATTCCACGTCTCCTTCCAACACTTCCAGTGTTCTTCCACTCAGGTTTCCCCCTGGATGCTGCTCAATGTCTCCCACTTTGTTCTGATGACTGACAACCTGAAGATGTCATTTGTAGTTTCATCCTTCAATTCACTTCCTCTTCTGGGTGTCCAACTTCAACTGTAGTCTATCACCAACATCTGTGAGGGCTTTCAAATTGATTCGGAAGACATGTTCCTTGCACTAGATAGTGGTGTGGGTGGTGTCAACCTAAATCTGCTCCCCTTCTTCATCTCATCTTGTGTCCACTACGCTGACTGCATCTTCACTTTCTTCACATTCAGATGAAGTCGATATGATTTTTAATGTAGTGTAGTGTGTCCATCTGGTGTCTAGTGAAATCGAATCCATGTCACTCGCTGTCTTGTGAATATCCTCAAAAGTGATTGTACACACTACCTCCAATCACCAAATCGCTGACTGAGCAGAATTCTGCAAACAGTTCTCCATTCTTATTCATCATTTCATCTAGTGCTTCTCAACCTATGATCAGTTCTCTTCCTGTGTTGTCTGCTCCCAGCTTGACATTCATGTCACCCATCGAGATTTTGATGTCGCTAACTGGAGTCTTGTCTAGTAATGATTCCAGTTGCTTGTAGAATTCCTCCTTCTCCTCCTCCTCCTACTCCTTCTTCTTCTTCTTCATTTGATCTGCCTAATGGTTTGTAGGTGCATAGCACAGCATTTCATTGTGTGATTGCGACTTCCCTTCCTTTCGAGTTGAATCTTACTGTCATGATCGTGATCGTGATCGTGATCGTGATCCTGCATGAGGAGATTGGTTCCCACTGTATGAGGGACAGACTTCGATGCTCTTCAACAGGACGTCATGATAGCCACTCTAAGACTCAGCGTCCCCATGCTTGTCATCTGGCTGACAGTATCGGAGTAGATTATTCACTCTCCCTCCAGTTGACAGTTTCCGAGAGTCCACTTCCTTCCATTCCATCAACAGATTCCTCACAGATTCCTACTATATCACTTATATACTATACCTTCTCATGTCTTTTGCAATCTGTTCAGCCTTGCCAGCCAGCCAGCTTCAAACATTTTTCGGACATCCCATGTCCCCATGCTTACCTTCGCTTTCATTGAGGGAGAGAAGATATATTGTCTAATTGTCTTTCTGAGGACTTTCACCAACCGGTGACATTTCTTCTCTCAGATTCCAGTTAGGAATAAGTTTAATTTAATGTTTTATATTTCCTCTGTGCTTTGAAGTTTGTTTATCGATTGGATTTGTTTTGTGTGGTAGGGTTGTTAGCTTTATGTTCAACTTTCCCTTTTTATGTGGGTTTAGGACTGGCTAGTAACTAGTGAACTAGTTGACCTGGCGATGTTTGTGCTACTTAAAGGGATATTAAATATTCTATCCAGAGATGAGAGGACAAAATTCTATATTCTTCCTAAGCTGTGTCCCTCTCACTAAACAACCAAACCTTTAAGATTCTTTTTGTTCAAGGATTAGGAAGATTTCATTCTCAAGATACACTAAACCATGAGCAAACATTACCATAAAATATCTTACTAGAAATCGATTAATCACCTAGATTCATTGACTTTAACATGAATAAATAATCGCAAACAAAAAAGTTATCGGTGACGTGGGAAAAGCCGCTACATGAACCTGGAATTCAAAGGCTTAAATCCTCAATGACTACTTTTTTGAGATTTGTGAGAAAGACATTTCACGCAATCTGGATAACCTCACAGTTGTTTACTGGCAATCTATTCTGTCAGATTCAAAGTTACAGTCTAACAACATCTTTATTAAATACCCTCCCATCATTCGATCTTTCATACCAATTCGTGAAGTCTTCATTCAGTATGGCTTATCTTGGCTCAAGTTATTCCTCTTAGTGCAACATTTTGTGATCAGTCAGTAATATTTCAATTGATACACTGAATATCCACATGTTTTTAGTACTTTTCTACTATTTCAATAAACGTGTCTAGTAAAGCAGTAAAAATTTTCATGAACAACAATTTTCAATTTGAAAGATTAAGGTGTTTAGAAAAAATTCACAATTCAAAACGTAGCAGCTTTTTCCTTCTATTCTGTTATATATTAGACATTGACCTTGGAAGCATGATTAAAACGACTATCAAGGTTACTTGATAGCATACTTTTAAACAATTGTATTGATAATATGTCAGTAGAAATAAATTTAAATTTGGTCAACTGTTTAACCTATGAGTAATATTTCACAATTTTACATTTTGTAAATGAACAAATAAAAATATATAAACATTCATTAATAAATGTAAACTTTTCTGTACATATTTAGTAATAATATGGATAGATTTCGTAAGGAAATGGATAATTGAAAAGAATAGATGAGAAGAATGGTTGTTTACATTATATCAATAAGGCTGTAAAGAGTTAGAAAATCAGAAAGAATAATGAAGTTTATGTTAAGCTCAAGTTACACTGTTTTATTCAATTCGATAGGAGAAGTGAATCAATTGTTGTACAAGTCAACAATGAGAAGAAATCTCTGTATGTAATGAAATTCAAAAGAAGAAATAACATGGAAAATGACATTTTGATTATAACATGATTATTACTGAGCATGTTAAATTAATCTGAATATCTATGCATAAAAAATGATATTATGTAATAAATCTCTATTTGTATATATACCGTGGAGGGTGACTGAAGAATGAAGATACAGGTTTATTGAACTTCACTTAATGTCTTAGCTTCAGATTCTGAGAAAAGATTGCCAATTTTGAGATTCTTGAGTTGTATAACTGTTTCAACACTCTATTCATAGCTTCTATTGAATTCCTACAAAAATGAAGTAAACAGAAGCATGATAAACTGAAAAACTGAAGGATATAAATTATTCGAATTGATCAATGAGGCTGAAATCATGCCAAGAGTGTCACTCAGGTTAAAAAAAAGATATTCAACATTCCTTGTCACTATAATAACTGGATCGAACTGTCCGACCACTTCTGGTAGACAGCCCCCTTGTAGATCCCTTGATACTGTTTGAATATTCTTTTTTTTGTAGTACCAATAAATCACAACTGATAACTGTTGTATAAGAGGTGGCTGTACAACCTCAGTGTTTCAGGCGGTGGGTGTCGGGTATGAGTCTCCGTGGCAGCATCATTAATCAGCTGATGAGCACCAATTAGGAAGAGATGTCCATTCTGGGACCCACTGTCAGTCGCTAAATAAATTAACACGTCATATATGTTCTTGTTTGTTACTCCGCAGTGGTGCGTGTGTGTGTATGTGATGTGCGACCACAGCTCTTCCTGAATTCAACAAAAAAAGATCATTGAGGACACTTTATTCTTTAGCCAGTGGGTTGAATTTCCTCAGGCTAACCCGGTTACAACTCTCCACTATGCCTATCTTTCATTCATTTTCTTGATAGTCTTGAACATTATGACTGGATAATAAAACGTTTTTTTAAATATTTGTCCCCAAAGTGATGTTACATATTCACAATTTTCATCAGTATCGTCGGAATTTTCATTAACACCTTACAGCTTAGATGATAGAGTAGTGTGTCAGTAAACAATAGGCATTTATGCTTTCCAGCAGATTCAATTACAGTTACCACAGAAAATGCATGAAAGAGTAATAAAGTCGTTGATCACATTGAATGAGGTCAGCTATGGTCTGGTACACTGGTATTATTGCAACGGATGGAGTGACAACTCAAATCTAAATCGTAGTAGGGTTTGAACAAGCGACCACAAGGCAGTTGAACAAATGCCTTTAGTGACTGACATGAAATAACGAATCGGTCAGAAGCTCGGTCTCATAAATTGTCCATCAGAGCACCAGAACTGTAATCCGAAGGTTATTGGCTCGAATACTACCGCGACCACGATTTTCATCTTACCTTCAATCATCACCCCGTCTCAGAAATATTACTATTAGAAAACGCTTTATTCTTTCAAATGTGAGTTTTTGATATTTGTCTTGAAAAGTAACGATTTACAACCACAACGTAAACAGTTTCAATGGGATAATTGAACAATTGCAAAATAAACAGTTTCATATAATCAAAAAGGGATGACTTTAAAGGCCACCCTAGCAACAACTGAAACAACCAATTAGACTTCGGTATTTACTTAGACTCTGTCTTTCTATCCAAAATGAAATGTAATTGGTTATTTAAGTCCTTGCTAAGGTGTCCTTTAAAGTCATCCATCAAAAAGCTTCTTAAATTATATTTTGTAGAAAGAAAGATACTGTGATCAAAAAGAGGAAAAATGAAATTTTCATTACGAAAACCATTTAAGATACTGCAGTAGTCCTCAAAGCGAACGAGCTAGTCTGTTTGGTGGAAAACACGTATGTATACAAACACGGAATGAACATAGAGTATGATGACAGTTCACAGCTTATCTTCCTGCCCGTAGAAAAATGTGACCATGAAGTTAACTGTATAACCTTTAAGACCTGAGGACAAGCCTATTCGAAAAAACATACAAATTCCTAAACGGTTGACAATCCGATAAATAAGTAGTCGTTAGGCCTGTAAACTTAGACATGATGTCTCAATCAATCAGTCAAGAAGATTCAATTTCGAGGTTTGTGGGAATTTGATATAAAACAAAGACTGACATCAGTTGGAACATCTTCATGTTCCCAGTTTATCACATTATCACTGAACCAGTGGGTCAGCATCCTGTTATCCGATGATGCCAACCAAGTCGAACGTGAGAAAAGTTACTCAACAACTGCACTGGATGATAACGTGCTGACCACGGGATCTAAAGGTTTTCGTTTCCACTCTTGTCGGGTTCACATAGGTCAACACTGATGAGGAGTACCATACTATGACGAAACAACTTTTTCAATACTTCCAGGTTTCCAGTGGCCCTCTAAGGATATCACCCGATGAAGAATACCAATTTAAAATCAATCAATAAGATGTTTGTGAAGCAATCTCACAAACTTGACTAGCTATCAAGCCAGAGAACTTCACCAATGAATATAAGCTCACTATGCTATAAAGCATAAAAGATGACTGCTGAAAAAAACCATATAGCTTTCAAAAATGTGACAGAAGTTCAACTAGCATCTACGGATGACAATTTAGTTCAACGTAATAATTTTAACAGCAGAAATCTAATGGTAGTCAAGAGTGAAGGAAGAAAATCAACTAAGTGAAAACTTATCCAATGAATAAAAAGCAATTAGCCTACGTAGCATGAAAATGCAAAGCTGAAAGTCAATTCAACTCAGAAAAGGTTCTGATTAAATTATATTTGAATAAAAACTATGAACAAAATAAAAACAACAATAATTCCCTCAGTTGTTTGATATTTGTAATTCCCCGTTTCTATACAGGATAGAATTGCTCAACCCCTGTTGGGAGAGGAGCTGCTACGCGGATGTCTCGATACTTCATGAGTATTCATTATCTTATACGCTGTTCAGTATCTAGCAATGGGATATTACAAATATCAAACAGTAACTGATACCCGCTACACAAGAGATGAATCGCTTTGGCGTTTAAAGCAATCAATCCTACGGTCGAGTCCTAATGAGAACCAAGCCAATCAGTGGAAGGCAGGTACATCGAGCTGACTAGTGTTAAATTAGGTAGAATGCGTATCCAGGACCCCGCAGCTATTAACTAAGATGGATACACCAATCTCCTCGAATAGAATATGGTTGAGTATACCGAGAACCATTGCAACCATGAGAGGTTAAATAGGCACCAACTACATTACACAAGCAGTGAAGAAGAACAAATTGAGTTCCTTAAAAATTCTCATCTAGATATTGAAAATGAAAGGTAGACTGGGTGAAGAAATATTTGTTTTCAATTGGCCCTTCGTCTTTGGCCCTATAGTAATATTGCATAAGTTTTACATTCAATAACACAATGTCATTTGGTGTTGTTTGGTTAATTCACTGATCGCACAACATCTAACATGAAAATTGAAAATCTCGGGGTAAGCAGATGCATTTTAACAGAATCACCTGAGAAGGGGATGCAAAGAACTAAGGAGGGAAAGAGTATGAAATGAAGAGGAGAGAGGGTCCTTTTATTGATGAATTATATTGATACTGGGTGATGATTGAAGGTGTAGTGCTAATTTTGACCGCGGCCTCATTCAAACAAGCGATCATACTGTTCTCGACCTGATGCTGTATTAACTTACCAGATTTTTATTTCACTTCAACCACCAAGAATTTCACCTGACTGGAGTGAAATATAAATTCGGCCAGCGGTAGAACCTCGTAGCTCAGTTGGTATAGCGCCGGGCAGGAAACCCAGTGGTCACTGGTTCGAATCCGGCTGAGGTTCAAATCATCATTTCGCCTTCAATCATCACTCAGTATAAATACTAGTCTGCCAAACCATGGCTCTCAGACAGTCAAAATGATGATAAATTGTATTCCATTACACAAAACATTGAAATGAAATACACGCTAATTAACCGTGATCACCAAGGTAATGAATAATACGGGTAACACACATTTCTTGTGAATCCAAAGATCCCGTATATTGCGGTGTTTGTCAATAGCTTCCATCATGTCTAACAAGCAAATTGAATAAATGCTTCGCCTTTAATCCACTTTAGACGAAATAACTCCTACAAACACAATCTGTATTGACGAAAACGCCTAATGTGATGAAAGAAACTCCATACTGGGAAAGCCTGAGCTTGTAAGCGAACAAAACCACTCAGACAAACAGCAGTGTTAAAGCAAATTATAACAAACCAAGCCTCGCTGGATTACCTAGTACACTAGTTACTAGCCAGTCCTAAACCCACATAAAAAGGGAACGTTTAACTTAAGCTAACAACCCTACCACACAAAACAAATCTAATCGATAAACAAACTTCAAAGCACAGAGGAAATATAAAACATTAAATTAAACTTATTCCTAACTGGAATCTGAGAGAAGAAATGTCACCGGTTGGTGAAAGTCCTCAGAAAGACAATTAGACAATATATCTTCTCTCCCTCAATGAAAGCGAAGGTAAGCATGGGGACATGGGATGTCCGAAAAATGTTTGAAGCTGGCTGGCTGGCTGGCTGGCTGGCTGGCTGGCTGGCTGGCTGGCTGGCTGGCTGGCTGGCTGGCTGGCTGGCTGGCTGGCTGGCTGGCTGGCTGGCTGGCTGGCTGGCTGGCTGGCTGGCTGGCTGGCTGGCTGGCTGGCTGGCTGGCTGGCTGGCTGGCTGGCTGGCTGGCTGGCTGGCTGGCTGGCTGGCTGGCTGGCAAGGCTGAACAGATTGCAAAAGACATGAGAAGGTATAGTATATAAGTGATATAGTAGGAATCTGTGAGGAATCTGTTGATGGAATGGAAGGAAGTGGATTCTCGGAAACTGTCAACTGGAGGGAGAGTGAATAATCTACTCCGATACTGTCAGCCAGATGACAAGCATGGGGACGCTGAGTTTTAGAGTGGCTATCATGATGTCCTCTTGAAGAGCATCGAAGTCTGTCTCTCATGCAGGATCACGATCACGATCACGATCACGATCACGATCATGACAGTAAGATTCAACTCGAAAGGAAGGGAAGTCGCAATCACACAATGAAATGCTGTGCTATGCACCTACAAACAATTAGGCAGATCAAATGATGATGATGAAGAAGAAGAAGAAGAAGAAGAAGAAGGAGGAGGAGGAGGAGGAGGAGAAGGAGGAGAAGGAGGAATTCTACAAGCAACTGGAATCATTACTAGACAAGACTCCAGTTAGCGACATCAAAATCTCGATGGGTGACATGAATGTCAAGCTGGGAGCAGACAACACAGGAAGAGAACTGATCATAGGTTGAGAAGCACTAGATGA